TTTTTTTTTTATTGGTCTTATGAAGTATTCTAATTGGTTGAGATAGTGAATTGGTGTTTTTTTGTTAAATGTGAGCCAAAATCATCACAATTAAAAGAACCAAAGACTTAAACTACTTCAGTCTGTGTGCATTGAATTTATTTAATACACGAGTTTCACAATTTGAGTTGAATTACTGAAATAAATTAACATTTCCACGACATTCTAATTTATTGAGATGCACCTGTATAGTCGGTCTAAATTTTTCTAGTTATGCTCAGCGCTACAACATTTAGCTAAAAAACTGCTCTTTGTGGGGGTGATTTCTTATTAAATGATAATCAGGAACAATAGGAAATATATATTGGGAATTCACTTGTTAGAAGGTGTGGTAGCCCCAAACTATTGTTATGGAATGTAGATAAGCAATTCATTTTCAGTAAATGAATATGTCCCTGACAATCTTGAAATGTACCTACATTGCGGTTAAATCCACTTTCATGAGGTTTTGATTCCAAGTAAGTGGAATAATTAACTTCCTATTCACAGATGTCAGTATTTGGGCTTGAACACTCAGGTTTCACTGAGCATATGGCAGTAGTCAGTCTGTCAGTTAAGGTGACATTTGTTTGAACCGAAGCAATATAGATAACCTGACAAGACATGCCAACTACCAGCATGCAGTGCAGCACGTGTGGTGTCAATGTGACCCTGAGTGCTTGTGAAATGGCATGATAGTGAAGGACTGGGGACCACTAGCCAATATTAACAAGTACTTGACTGTTTTTCTTGAAAGAAGTGTATATAACCGGTGTATTAGGCAAATTTTACAGAAATGCTAAGGGGATATACTGATTCTACATTAACAAGCCATTTCTGGAAGTTTTCGCATATGTGCAGGAAATTGTGTGTTCCTATTGGGTCAAAGTGTTTGAGTTGACTTTGTTTACCTGCCATTGTTTCAAAGTGGAGATGTTATCGGCTCCGTAGTTTTTCTTCGATGTTTGTGTAGGACTCTTTATGTCTCAGCCGTTGGTTATTTTTCTTTGAATCCTGAAGACATAATAAAGTTACTTGAGGTTTAATTGTTGAGAATACTGATCAAAAGCACAATTTCTCTTCTCGTCATCCTCCAAAACACACAAACACTCTCTGAACTAACATAAAGGAACTGTGGGAACATACACTACCATTCAAATGTTTATTCATTTTGAAATTGATCAAAAATGACAATACAGACACTTATTATGTTATAATGCTCTTTGAACTTTCCATTCACCGACATTGTCACGGTTTGTCAAGGAACGTTGTTGAAAACAGTTTAATAAGAAATGTTTCGGGAGCAGCAAATCAGCATTTTAGACTGATTTCTGAAGGATCATGTGACACTGAAGACTGGAGTAATGATGCTGGAAATTCAGCTTTGAATCACAGGAATAAATTACATTTTAAAATATATTAAAATAGAAAACAATTTGTTTTAAATTGTAATAATATTTTTAAATTTTTACTGTATTTTTTATCAAATAAATGCAGCGTTGGTGAGCATAAGAGACTTCTTTCAAAAAAATACAAATAAATAGTATGTTAGTGTGTGCAAGTAATATTCACATTCTGAGTGTGTCGGTTTTTTGCAGGACACCATCAACAGTGTGAAATCTCGACTGGGAAAGAGTCTTCAGATCCAGGCATTGCTGAGAGCCTTCGAAGCCCGCGACCGCAACCTGCAAGAGAGCAACTACGAACGTGTCAACCTGTGGTCGTGTACCAACCTTGTTGTCATGGTGATCGTGTCCGGGGTCCAGGTGTACTTGCTGCGCAGCTTCTTCGACAACAAGAGGAAAACTTGCACATAGCCTCCCCTACTGCTACTTGACTGAAAAACACAAACACACACACCTCTGTCTGTCTCTCTGTCCTTTACTATTCAGCTCCATCCTTGGGTTCCTCCCATCAAAGTGTCCTTGGGCTGATAATAGCTGGAGTCACTCCTCCTCCAGACTTTTTTTTTTTAATCTCTCTTGACGCCTTGTGATGAAGACAATCATTTTCTACTTGACTAAGCCGATAAAATGAGAGATTGAAGTTGATCTCTAAGCTGCTGCTATGTGGCCGATCTAACCAGGAACATGTTGTTTTTAGTTTTAAACCAGATGACTACTAGTTTTGCGTTTTTTGTATGACGTGTAGTTACTGAAGTCTTCCAGGCACTGATAAGAATACACTGATATGCAGAACGTTTCATATTTTTGTAACAAACTAGCTAAGTATTTTGAAGGGACACCATTGTAAAATGTTTATGAGCCGTATTAATGTCTGATTAAAATATTGAATGCTTTTTCATACGTTAACCACACCCATGCCCATTTTCTGTTTGCTTTACCCATCTGTTACTGATCATTTTATGAAGAGATGCACCCAATACACAGATGCTGTGGCCCTTTTCTTATGAACAATTTTTAATAGTTAATGGTGCTCATTTTTTTGTCCAGGTCTATTAATTTATTTCAAAATGCATTAAAAATGCAATTCATACCTACAATGACTTGAATACGCCTCTTTCTCTAATTTCTGAATTCAAATTTATTTTGATATTTTTTGGGTGGCATAAAGTCAAAAATGTCGACTGTCCTGATATCATATTGAAGAAAAAATGCATTGAATTTCCGTTTCTTTTTTTTCTTTTTTTTTTAGAAACAAATTTGCAGCAACGTACATTTATTTCGCTTATAATTATTCAAAAACTATTGTCCACCAAATCAAAATTATGTAACGTCACTAATTTGCAGGGAAAAAAAACGATGATCAAAAGGAAATTATCTTTAAAGTCTTTTCAAATATAATTTAATTTGAACTTTTTTTTTTACAAGACGAGGTTAGTGCAGATTGTAAAATGTCTTGTGTTATGACTCCTTAAAAATGTAATGATATTAATGAATAAATATATATATAAAGCATAATAAATAACTTACACTCTCATGAATTCAAGGTGTAAAGAAATTCATAATTACTTTTTACTTGGTTACAGCAACAATTTTAGAGTCGTCGATTTTTTTTCTCAAAAAAAAATGGTATGCAATCAAGATGAATACAAAGAAACTTGACGTGTTTATATTAGACTTTCCCTTAACTTTTTATTTATTTTTAAAGGTCCCTAACCTTGTATTCACATAGGAACTATGCCAGCTTAAAAAGAGTCTTCTTAGAAGCCCCAGTAAGTGCCAGGCTGAATATGACTCAGCTCAATAAATCACTGGAGTCTTCAGCAGCACTAGTAATAACAGCTGCAGCTCAATCCCTCATCCGTCAGTGACAGCAGTCTGGACTTCAGTGTGCATCAGAGCTCATTCAGAGGCTGGATTCCTCTTCCCTGGTGAATGTGCTTGACTTAAAGAGGAGTATTTGAATGGCTATTGTGTGCAGTTTCTCTCTCTGTCTAGTGATGCTTGAGCTATTTCTGTTGTTACTACGACAACCATCTTCCACTGAGAGCCACTGGTCCTGTGGGAAGCAGCTCCCACTGTGCTAATAAATTAAGTTTACTGCTCGTTTTTGATTCAATCACTCTCTTTTGTGCTTTAAATTTAATTGTGTCTTTATTAGAGTTGCACTGCTTTTTAGTATATCAAATAAAGAGCGGTTTTACTTTTTTCCTATACATTTTTTACCTCCTAGTTGATTAAAACACCACTATGAATCATGTGGATTTATGTTTGATTATCTGAAATGTGTTTTGAATTCCACAGAAAACTTGAATTGGATTTCTTATCGAATTTCTAATCTTATTTCGCCACCCACTGGAGACTTTTAGCACTGCCAGCTGTCAATTTTCAACTAGTTTTCCTTTGAGTGAAGGAATATGATTCTCTCTCTCTGTTTTAAGACTTAGCTTATCCATTTTTGGACTTAATAAATGATCATATGTGTATATTACGGTGGCCGAGAAGTGCAAAACAAATCACAATTCTGAAAACAAAATAACAAATTACAAATGCAAATGCAAGTCTAAAAAACCAAATAACAAGTCAGAAAACACAACAACAATTCAGAAAACATTATAACAAGTCAGAAAACACAACGACAAATCAGACAAACCGGAAGAGGTAGGTATAGTTTGAGACAGCGCCATTGGTTTGGGATTACTCACCGCTGATTGGACGAGACATCTGTCAATCAACGTATACAGGAAGAACCAATCCCAAACCAATGGCAAACAAAAAGCAATTAAAACGGTGAAAGTTTGTAAACGCTTTAATATTTTTATATAAATTTGTATTTGTATACAGCCCCTCTAGTGTGAAATTGTTTATTTCATGTATAATGTTTATTGCTTATATCATGTATAGTGTTTGTCATATACATCTATTTTGATCTTGTTAATTATCATATTGAAGAAAAAATGCATTGAATTTCCGTTTCTTTTTTTTCTTTTTTTTTTAGAAACAAATTTGCAGCAACGTACATTTATTTCGCTTATAATTATTCAAAAACTATTGTCCACCAAATCAAAATTATGTAACGTCTCTAATTTGCAGGGAAAAAAAACGATGATCAAAAGGAAATTATCTTTAAAGTCTTTTCAAATATAATTTAATTAGAACTTTTTTTTTTACAAGACGAGGTTAGTGCAGATTGTAAAATGTCTTGTGTTATGACTCCTTAAAAATGTAATGATATTAATGAATAAATATATATATAAAGCATAATAAATAACTTACACTCTCATGAATTCAAGGTGTAAAGAAATTCATAATTACTTTTTACTTGGTTACAGCAACAATTTTAGAGTCGTCGATTTTTTTTCTCAAAAAAAAATGGTATGCAATCAAGATGAATACAAAGAAACTTGACGTGTTTATATTAGACTTTCCCTTAACTTTTTATTTATTTTTAAAGGTCCCTAACCTTGTATTCACATAGGAACTATGCCAGCTTAAAAAGAGTCTTCTTAGAAGCCCCAGTAAGTGCCAGGCTGAATATGACTCAGCTCAATAAATCACTGGAGTCTTCAGCAGCACTAGTAATAACAGCTGCAGCTCAATCCCTCATCCGTCAGTGACAGCAGTCTGGACTTCAGTGTGCATCAGAGCTCATTCAGAGGCTGGATTCCTCTTCCCTGGTGAATGTGCTTGACTTAAAGAGGAGTATTTGAATGGCTATTGTGTGCAGTTTCTCTCTCTGTCTAGTGATGCTTGAGCTATTTCTGTTGTTACTACGACAACCATCTTCCACTGAGAGCCACTGGTCCTGTGGGAAGCAGCTCCCACTGTGCTAATAAATTAAGTTTACTGCTCGTTTTTGATTCAATCACTCTCTTTTGTGCTTTAAATTTAATTGTGTCTTTATTAGAGTTGCACTGCTTTTTAGTATATCAAATAAAGAGCGGTTTTACTTTTTTCCTATACATTTTTTACCTCCTAGTTGATTAAAACACCACTATGAATCATGTGGATTTATGTTTGATTATCTGAAATGTGTTTTGAATTCCACAGAAAACTTGAATTGGATTTCTTATCGAATTTCTAATCTTATTTCGCCACCCACTGGAGACTTTTAGCACTGCCAGCTGTCAATTTTCAACTAGTTTTCCTTTGAGTGAAGGAATATGATTCTCTCTCTCTGTTTTAAGACTTAGCTTATCCATTTTTGGACTTAATAAATGATCATATGTGTATATTACGGTGGCCGAGAAGTGCAAAACAAATCACAATTCTGAAAACAAAATAACAAATTACAAATGCAAATGCAAGTCTAAAAAACCAAACAACAAGTCAGAAAACACAACAACAATTCAGAAAACATTATAACAAGTCAGAAAACACAACGACAAATCAGACAAACCGGAAGAGGTAGGTATAGTTTGAGACAGCGCCATTGGTTTGGGATTACTCACCGCTGATTGGACGAGACATCTGTCAATCAACGTATACAGGAAGAACCAATCCCAAACCAATGGCAAACAAAAAGCAATTAAAACGGTGAAAGTTTGTAAACGCTTTAATATTTTTATATAAATTTGTATTTGTATACAGCCCCTCTAGTGTGAAATTGTTTATTTCATGTATAATGTTTATTGCTTATATCATGTATAGTGTTTGTCATATACATCTATTTTGATCTTGTTAATAAAAAAAAATAAAAATAAAAAAAAAATTTAAAAACTCCCAAACCAATGGCGCTGTCTCAAACTATACCTACCTCTTCCGGTTTGTCTGATTTGTCGTTGTGTTTTCTGACTTGTTATAATGCTTTCTGAATTGTTGTTGTGTTTTGTGAATTGTTATTTGGTTTTTTAGACTTGCATTAGCGTTTGTAATTTGTTTTGCACTTCTCGGCCACCGTAGTATATCATTTTGTTTCACAATCAGAATCAAGGAAAACTTCATTAATGGCTACTGTGTGGGGGGGGAAAAAATCATTAAATATAATATCATTAAGACAACCAAATCAAAGATTTGTTTCCAAAATTAAATATTTGACTGTTACGTTGTAATCGTACTAAAACAAATTGTTAAAATATTTTCTGGAAATGTAATTAGGTTGACAACGTAAATGGAGAGTAACAAAAATATAATAATAATAATAATAAATTATATTTAAAATGATTACATTTGAGCATGATTTCTGACTAGTCTTTAGAAAGCAGAAAGAAATAATTACATTTTGTAAATGTTTAACATATTTTAAGTGCACACATTAACTTTGACGGACCCAGTTTGAGAACCCCAGGCTTATTTATTGACTTATTTATTATGTCTATGGTTCGAGCGACTCTTGATTCGTTGGAGGCTGAGGGAAAGTCCGCAGATGGCGCTACCATCGCGCTTGTGCTTTTGCGGTTCGACACTTCCGGGTGTGAGATGGCGTGACAGCAGTGGGTAAAGTGAGAAAACCCTGCTTTTTTGTCGGTAAGATATTACATTTATATGGGCTTAAAACCTTTTGTGTGTTCAATATGAATGAACATAGTTTGTCTCCATACGCACTGCGCCCGCTGGTGTCTGATCGGCCGAACGAGAGTCGCATCTCGATCAGATTCCGATTGAATTCAGAAGCTGTCAGTCTCAGGCAGACTAGAGCCCGACAGAGAGATTGAATATTAATGTAATACAACGTTGATTATTGCTGGGTTTGATTTACACAAAATGGGAATTTCTTAAACTTGCTACAAGTTTTGTGGCATTTAAACATGATCTGAAAATGATTTAAATCCTTAAAAAGGAAAGCCTTAAAAGTGTAAATTGCTTACCATATATATACACCTTTAAGTTTATAATTTGCTTTTATATATTTTACTTTTTGTAAAATCTTTTCTAAAAATATAGATATGTATTTATTGATATATTTTTCTCTCTCTCTCTGCGTATGATTTATTGTTTGTTTTTAATAATGTTAATTTGAAGATGTTTAAAAAATAAATAGAGCTGAGCAAAGTGGAGGAATTTCTGTGTAATATTTCGATTATAGCTAATAATGTAGATTTGTTGCTCCAAGTTTTGTGGCATTTAAGAATTTATTTCAGTAGCTCAATAAAGTAAATTTTTTCTTACTTTTTCTGCAAATATATTGATGTAAGTAGTGAAGATGGGTTGTGTATTGCCAGTTTTGACAGGTGATGGGGGCAGACAGTGGTCCGGGAGCTCCTGCAGCCGTCCCATGGCGTAAAGTCCTATATGAACGCCAGCCCTTTCCAGACAATTATGTGGACCGACGCTTTCTGGAGGAGCTGCGGCGCAACATCCGAGTCCGTCAGTACCGTTACTGGGCGGTGGTGCGTGAGACGGGGCTCATCGCACAGCAGGTGTCCTGTGTGGCCGTCTTTCACACATTATGGTCTTGTATGGAGCAGGGAGACCTGGTGCCGTCCACGGTGCTCTGGGTCTGTCTGGGCTGTGCTCTGTTGGGATACGGACTCTATGAGATCCTGGGAGGCGCTTGTGTTCGGGAGCGAACGCGCCTGGCGGACCTGCAGAGCGCAACCATCTTCCTGGCGTTTACTTTCGGGTTTTCACCTGTTTTAAAGACTCTAACCGAGTCGGTTAGTACAGATACTGTTTACGCCATGTCAGCCATGATGCTCCTGGCTCACTTGGTGTCCTTCCCGTATGCTCAGCCCAGTCCGCCGGGCAGTCTTTCCCTCAACGCGGCCCTTTTCGCGTCGGTGTGCCTGGCGTCCCGGCTGCCCGGCGCCCTGCATACCTTCACCATGCTGAGCTGTGCCCTCCTGGTGTTCGCTCTCTGGCCCTGCCTGTTGCACCGCATGCGGGAGAAGGCGGAGTGGAGCTTTCCGTGGGCAGCGGTGCTGGTGTGTCTGGCTGGAGTCGGGGGTCTGGGTAGCCTGTGGCCCGAGGGGGCTCTTCTCCTCTCATTGGCTCTGTTAACATTAACTTTACTCTGTCCACTGTTACTGGTTCACCTGCAGAGGCACAAGGACAACATCCACGGTCCTTGGGATGAGGCAGAGATTAGAGAGGACCTGTCCCGCTTCCTGAATTGAAACTGCCTACAGGGTTTTAAGACCGTTTTAAATGATGCTTTTGATAGACTCCCTTTGGTGGGATGGTTTTGAGAATCTTTTACACTTTTCCTAAACGGATAGTTCACCTATGAAAAATCTATCATTTACTCCCCTGAACCTGTGCGTTTTCCTTTCTTCTGTGGAGCATGAAAGAAAATGTTTTGAAGAAAATTGGTAACAGTTTTGGTTACCAGTGGCTTCCATTGTATGGACAAAAAACACTGAGACATTTCTTAAAATATATTCTTTTGTGTTCTGCAGAAGAAAGTCATACAGGTTGGAAAAAACCAAGAGTGTGAGTAAATGATGACCGAATTCATTTTTTCTTTTTTTTTTTGGTAAGCTATGCCTTTAAGCTCAGGGAAGAATAAAAACGGTTACTGTGAAATTACATTTCATTTTGCCAATATAAAATACAACTAAACTATTAAATGGGTGAACCTCATGAAAACATGTCCAAGTCATGCTTGAAATAAATGAAGCCCTGAAAATAGATGTAGACTTTTCTTTTAGGCAATTAATATCATTTTGATTTTGGGGTATGATCCAGACATGTTTTGTGATATTCAAATCATTTATATGGAAGTAGGGAGTTCTTTTTAACAGTATTTATATAAATGTGCATATTCTTGGATTGCTCGATTAAAACATTTAAATGCTTGTCAATGTTTTTAATAATGCTTTTAACATGCTTACTGTACTGGAAATAATTGTTGTTTTTAACTATGATATGCATATAAATATTTTATTTTTATTTGAATGGAGGTGATAGTAAAGGGCTGAAACTGTTCTAGACAAACTGTTGTCCACAAGATGTCAGTCAGTCCCAGGTATTTCTGCAGCAGTAACTGTTGTTCATGTAGAACGGCATTTCTGCCAGTGTTCAGTTGATAGAAGAAAAGTCTTTGTTGGCTTTTCTGTCGCGTCATTTATAACTGACAGAATAAGAGCTTATATGAACAGTCTGTGTGACATTGCAATGAAGTTGCCAAAGTAAAGCATTCTGTGCAAAATCTATCAGAGCGTCTGTTGTGTAAAATGAAATTGTGTAAATTCTTATAAATGAAGTTATAATGTTTGGCAAAATAAGATTAATATTTGCTTTTTCTCAGATTTTCTGAAGAAAATGAGAGTGGCGCTGGAACCTCACTACAATGCTTGGTTATTGTGGGTGGTTCCTTTACTAGCTGCATGATTGCAAATGATTACAAATTGCATTCCTAGCACAACCAGTGTGAGAAATTACATGCTGACGGGTTAAACCTGGGATTAGGGGTTGGTTCAGATAACTAACACTAGACATGAGCAATTATAACAGTGATGCTTGCTTTAGTAAACACCAATAACCACAGGAAAATATTGGACTTCTTAAGCACACAGTATTTACAAAATCCCAAAATGCTTTTTATTTAAGCGTGATAAAGAGCTGAATGGAACTCACTCACATTGCAAACATCAACATATGTACAAAACAGGAACAAACCTCAGCACAGTGCTCAATCTCACCACCGAAAGCGAAAAGAGTTTTGCTACCTCCAAATCTGTTTTGATAGTTTTCCACTGTGTCTAAGATGTGAATCTTTGCTGTCCTCTTAATGACAATTCAAGCAGATCTTGTCGTTGGTGCTTTTTCTCTCACAGGTGGGCATTTGTGTCTCAGTGTGGCTGTTGAGTGGGCACCGCCGGTGGCTGTCTCCTGCAACACATTACACATAACCTGAGTTGTCAGAACAGACTCCCACAGCTCACAGCTCTGCCAATTCAGCTAATGGACATAACAACAATCTCCCATAAACTGCTCTGCTTCAGATGCATGTTTACAATTGCCTGCGAGTGTGTTTTGTTTTGGGAAAATGAAAGCGAAATGAACACAAATGGCCAGATCAGATCAACAGGACTGAAAAGAACATAAAACCGATTTTTCTTTAGATGGGCTACAAATAAATACCAAACCCTGCTGATCAGCTGTGAGTCAAACACAAAAATCTGAAAGAAAAAAATAATAATTCTTAAGGCAAACCCAGAATTCTAATCGCAAAGTTAGTTTTTCTGTTGACACTTTACATTAAGGTTGAATTTGTAAACATTTCTTAATGTGTTAGTTATCGTGAGCTAACAATTCACACTACATTTCCAGCATTTATTAATTAGGGTAGTTTTACATTCCCTACCATTCAAAAGTTTGGGGTCAAAAAGAAATGAATACTTATGATTATTCATCAAGGATGCATTAAATTGATCAAAAGTGACAGAAAATACATTTGTAATGTTACAAAAGATTTCTGTTTCAAATAAATGCTGCTTTCTTGAATCTAAAAAAGTATCACCATTTCCAGATATAAGAATGAATTGCTCATAAGAATAGTTTCTGAAGGATCATGTGACACTGAAGACTGGAGTAATGATGCTGAAAATTCAGCTATGCCATCAAATAGAAAAGAGGTATTTTAAATTGTAACATTATTTCACAATATTATTGTATTTGTAATCCAATAAATGCAACCTTGCTGAGCATAAGATACTTCTTTCAAAAAATAAATTTAATTAAAAGCAGAAACAAAAACCCTTACTTATCTTACTAACATTTGAACTGTAGTGTATACAAGTACATTTTAACAATATACAATAGTATATTTACAAATTACATTACCCTAGAGTAGTAAATGTTGTAAAAAGTGTTGTTCAATGAGTTGTGACAACTAGTGCATTAACTAATGTTGAGCTTACCATAAAGTGTTACCGTTTTACTTTAAGCATTTCTTTTTTAAGAATATTCTGAACTTTTAATAACAGTAATTACTAGCAGTTCCTAAAGCTAAAGTTTGTGATTTCAATAAAAAAAAAATCCTGCCTCAAACACACATAATTGGTTAAGCTAATGTTCCTGAATCGTGCTGGCCAGGATGCTCAAATGAACAGAGCAAGACTTTGACAGCACCACTGTGACAGTGAATCTGCGTCTCTGCATCTTACGCTCGAATAGAAGTACTGTAACATTGAAAAAGTGACACATCACCTTTAATTAGGCCCAAAAGAGCTCATTATTGTGAGCTCACCATGTTGCAATCACAAGCTACGGTGTCGGAACGTCTGTAGTGTCTGTGTGTGTGTGTGTGTGTGTGTGTGTGTGAGTGAGTGTGTGTGTGTGAGTGAGTATGTGTAAGTGGAATATGAGTCCAGCATTCCTGCTGAGTTGGTCCTGGAAAGATCCCTGTGGAGACGCAGGAATCTCACTCTCTAATGGAGCTGGCAGAGGGAGCAGCTCTCTGGGATGGGAGAGAGAAGAGAGTGGCTTTTATTTTTCCTGTGCTGCGGTAAATGCAGGACTGCGGTTTCACAGAAAGAAAAAGAAAGGACGGAGACGACGGAAAGAAAAGCAAAACAACGCTTGAGGAAACATGCGAGATCTTGCAGCCTGGAAATGCCAGGGGTTTACTGGAAGACAGAAAGAAACGCTGAAGTTAAAAGTACAAGAATGTGTGATTGGAGGAGTGGATGAGGTGCGAGAGAGGAACGTTGCTCGATGAGATGCTGGTGGCGTCTCAGAACTGCCGTTTTAGCGCCCAGAAATGCTGCCTAGGTCTTCAGATTCTGTCACTGTCCGCAAGGCCTGTTCTGGTTGGGGTCGCGCTGAAGACAACAGCACGAGGTTCAAATGAGTTCTGCAAAAAGTGAAGGAGAAAAAAAGACAAGGGGAATGGGGGTGGAAGGAAAGAGAGGGAAAGTTGGAGAGTTGGGATGAGTGATGGTGAGAGGAAACGTGAAAAAGTGAGTGGGAGAACTAGAGAAAGGGGCGACGGGGGAGAAAGAGAGAGAGAGAAAAGGCAGGAGAAAAAGGGTGGAGGTCCAAACAGACCCGTTTCTGAACACAAAGGAAATGAGGCAGAAAAGAAAGGGAAAATATGGCCAAAAAGTGAAGGTAAGGAATGAGAGAGCGAGAAAAAGAACGATCACGAGGGAGAAACCGAAGAGAGTGTTGAAAGAAGCGAACGCCACTGGAATGGTGAAAAAGAAAAAGATACGGTCAGTTTGTGAATACTGATATGACGGTTTGAACAGGAAATTGAGCGTAACCCTCAGCGCTCCTTTAATGAGGCCATGCTTCTGGTTTGGTTTATTCTTGTTCATATGAAATATGAGACATACCAGATATCCACAAAACACAATAATCAAAGAACTGTAAGAAATATGAGAAGTCTTCATGTGTTTAGACTGTGAAATCCAACAACACAAGAGCTAAAAAGAGTGAGAGAGGACAGAGGAAGATAATATGGACTGTCTGTGCTGAAAATGGGGAATCAAATATGAAAAACACATTTTCAACAAGACCTCCACCCATCTCAAGTGACGTGAGAGACTCACTAAAAAATGTGTGGATCACATTTCTCACCAAAATCCACAGAAATAATTATACTCTGAGCAAAAAGGAAGTGAAGCCTATTTTTAGCATCATTAAAGTTTGTATGAATTATGACAACTTATTCTCATTACTATAAAGAGAATTATAAACAATACATAAAATATTGTAATCAAATTATAATATAAAATCTCATATAAATATATTAAATAATACATTTATATAAACAATTTTTAAAAACAATATTTTAATAAAATTGTATTTAAACAAAAAATAAAAATTGTAATTAAAATATATAAAATAGTTTTTGCTCATTTTATACTCATGTATACACACTAAATATTTAAGTTATATAATACAAATAATTTTATAAATGTAATATACATTTTAATACGTTTATTATTTAGATTAAAATTGTATTATTAAATACAATTCAATTTGTTGACATCTTATTCCTATAAAGAGAATATTATAAAAA